AAGTGTTTTTTCTTTCTTAACATTAATGATAATGCGAGTACAAGAGGGCATGGTATAAACTGAAAGTAAAGTCATATCACTTCTGGTATAATTTGCCAGAAGTGGTCTTTAATACTCCTCCACTGAATAGTTTTAAGAAACATGATAGACAAGGTCATGTTCTACATCAACTACAACGCTTGTAAAAATAAGTAACATCTTTCAAAAATACGTAAAGAGCAGATGGAACCGGATTTCAATTTGTATTTTTAAAACTTGTGGAACATTATGCGTTGCCTTTAGCTAATTTTCGGAAGAAAATTGCTAATTTTCATATGGTCTGGTGCATATATGAGAAACATTTAAAAGACTGAGTATATGTTCAAAACAAAATAGAATTATCCGGAAATAAGAGAGCAGAGTCTATATTTAATTTTACAGAGATAACTTGAACAAATGTTTTGTGTTGCCCGCGTTGGTGAAATCGGTATATACTCTTGGGCGCTGTAAACTTGGTTCAAGACAGGCTAGCATAATTATTGTGCTTTTTTCATTTACAAATGCAACATTTTATATTATTATAATCTATAGTTTGGTGGTGATATTATAATAATTATAAATGTGTATCTTTACTTTATTTAACATTCAACACTTGTACCCATCCCATTAGCCTTGTAAGTAAAAGTAAGTCTAAAGCCGCCGCTATAATGATATAAGTTGATAACTATTGAAAAGCTGTATCAAACACAATAGTTAGAGATATATAAAGCTAAAAAAATGACTTACATATTTCATTAGAATGCTATATTATTATTATTTGTTGCCAAATTAAAATAATAATGATAAAAGACGAACTAAAAGACTGTGAACAACAACTGCAATTTACATGTTTATTTTGTAACGTTTGTTTACATATGTCAACAACATTGGTGAATTTTCATATTTTTATTCCACTGCAGATTGTTTCGTAATTTCACCTTATGAGGTAGTTGTCGCTTTTTAGCCACACTATTTTATTTTTAGATAAAATACTTAAGTATATACAGATATTTATTTTAACTGTATTCTGTATAATGAAATAAAAATAGCCCATCATATAAAATATATCAGTTTATATAAGCATAATCAATATCAAATATCAAATTTCGCGTTCGTAATCCATTTTAACAAATCAAATTACTTTATTGTTAATTACTTCTACTAAAGTTTTGGTTTTACAGTTACTTACATTTAGTTTCCATAAATTGATATAAACAAAATCACTGTCTTTAAAATATTATGATTTCTTACTTCCCTTTGATATATTCCCAGATAAAAATGAATACATATCAAATACAGGAGATGTACAGCTTATAAGTAGTAGTGAATGATAAATTATATATTTCATTTGATATGCGAATGTTGTCTTTCAAATATTAACATAAATAGATAAAAAATAATCAATTAATCAATTGACTAATCAATCTTATTTATTTATCAAATCGAAAAAAAACTCTTATTTGAATGAATTCTTTCTTTCTTTCTCGAAGCCTTGGAACAGACATTTACATATACATTTATACGATGACCCATTAAAAAATAAATCAAACATAAGTAAAAAAGATAAATTAATGTATAATATTAATAAGACTTCAGAAAACTTCGGGCAGACACATGTTATTTAATGAAAGCTATTATAAGCAAAAATTTGAAAACCTAACTTAGAAAACTGAGGATTTACAAATGATTGTACAATAAAATTACGATGTGAAGATCGCAGAGAATAAGATGTTCCATTTTTTGCAAGTCTGTAATACATCTTTCATATAGGTCGAGGTTTAATAGTTCCATCCTCTTTTAACAGGTTTTCCATTTCAAAACATTATGTATCAGATGCAAACTTTCAAATAATATTTTAAATGATGCTATCTTCCAATGGATACGAATCGAATGGCAAATAATCCAGTTTTGAATATGACAAATAAAACTCGTGCAAATGAGACATTAGTCCATGAAAAAAACATTCAATGAGACATTCAAATTGGAAGTGTGCAACAGGCTTAACGATTGTCAAAAAAAAGTCACTGTGCAATGGGACACTGAACAGAACAGAACAGAATTTATTATTCAATATGACTTGATAAAAACATTTCCTCGTCATTACAAACATATATAATATATAGTATTAGACTCTTAATTTCATCTTGCACAGTGTCATACTGTGTCTTGTAATTCTTACTTTTGTTTTATAGCCATGAATTAAAAAAATATGTTCCATTATATATGCGTTTTGACTTTGTGTCTTCATGTTTAAAATATTCTAACTCTTACAGCAAAAACACGCCCTTATAATGGTACAGATATTCATTATTTTAATATACGCATCCAATTCCTGGTTGCACCAGTTCACGGTTTGAACTTATTTATAACCCATTATTCACTTTGAAACTCGGTCTGTTAAACGCAGATTCAGTGTACGGCGCATTTTTTTGTTGATATTGATCTGATATGACATATTTTGGCTTCAAATGTCTTAATCTATACTATGACTTTTAATCAATATCATTTGATATTATTTTTTAACAATGCGATTTACCCATGCTATAACCGTGAATCATAAAATAAGTAATAGAAAGAGCACCGAAACACGAGGTTATCTGATTTGTACGAGGGGGCGTAGCCCCCGAGTATTAATCAGATTACCGAGTTGTGTCTGGGGACGGCGTTCTGTGGACATCACGTTGCTTTGTTGATCTTTGTTTTCTTTGAAGAAAGCTTGAAAATTGTGTTTCTCAATACAAATAACTGACACATGTCTGAAAATAGTTTAGATTCAAAGGTTCCATCTTAATCTGTATATATAAGCGGGCAATACATCACTAACATATTGATTAACTAATCTTTTAGCTACAGCAGAAGCATAAAAATTAGGTAAACTGCAACATTCATTCCATATGCTATACAAATCACCTACAACCATCAAATGTTTATCTCATCTATTTGTTTTCAGATCCATAATCATTTAGTGCACACCCAGTTTATTTTTGTAATTGTGCTATCTCCTTTCTCAATAAGCTGAACGACTGTCACTTGTGTCGCTACATTAACACAAAATGTTTATTTACCTTTTTGGGACACATAAATGAGCTCCAGATTTCTAATCTTGCTACTGTTTTGGTATAAGTTCACGAGTAATTTGAAAGAAGAACCATTATCGCTTTCCCATTTTCTGTATAAAATGTTGTTCTTAGAAATCATCGAATATAGTCCAGCCGAAAAATACTATATCACCTCATTGTCATCTATAGAAACTTCTTGCCAATATTATTTATTCCCTTGATAAAACCTTCAATCAATTTAATGTTTGAATAAGCATCTTGTATTGCTACCAGATCAAATTATTGTAAAGTTGTGGTTCGGTGTTTCCGGGCTTTGATAGGGGTAAGTTCATTCAATGCTGTTTTTCATTGTCGATCTTTGTTCTTATATTTTGACATCAGTTTGACTAGATATAACACTTATTACCAATATTATTTAGATCATTTGTCTAACTTTGACTAGGTACAATTTAATCCTATCAGGTTATCATCTTTATCCTTTTGATAACTACATTCTATCAGACATATACTAGCAAAATCATCTTTTGACTGTTATCTATTTTTGCTATGTAAAAAACTAAATCAAACTTTGATGATGATCGTTTGTTAATATTATGGTTAACAGACAATTTACGACCAGCACCACCTGTGTTTTCTTTTAAATAATTTTCATTATCTTTATTCTGAAATTTTCCTTCCATTTAATTCATCAGGTTGAAGACAGTCAAACCAGCATTCTAGACCTATTACCATCAACAGTATACAGGAACTTCATGTATTAAACCAAAGCAAGGGAGATAATCTGCAACATAGACCATTATCAGTCATTACTGAGTTGTCTCCCTTAGAACTTATTTTGTCAGTACATGTAATATTCGTATCTATTTGAACTTACTCTGATATCTGTACACAAGCTGTAAATATTTAGTATATCCCCATTTGATGTCCCCCTCTTTTCCTTACACAAAGCCCTTATCCCTGTAATTTTTGTAATTTCCCATATTAAATTGATTATTGTAACAATTATTGGCATATCCCTCTTTTCCTTTCCCCGACCTTGTGCCCTTTTTCCGTTCTTTGATCCGGTGCCTTTTGGTGTCCTGCCAGTGTAGCTGGGTTGTGTCGAAGACTGCATTCTTTCAATTCCGCCTTTCCTTGTTGATCTTTGTTATAATTGGTATAGGAACTCTTGACCGTATCGGTGTAAAAATTACTGACATTTACCAAAATTGTGTTTCGTTGTAGTAGGCGTGCCATTGTTGTTTAAGACGTAATGCAGTCATTTCCGCTTAAGTTATTAGGGGCCCACAGGCATTAACAGAACTTCTTTTGGAGAGTTTTCGCCACAATTCTGTCTTTTAATGTCTTAACTATCGCACAGGTTAACTGAGTATGCATCGAATCCTAAAGAATATGTTACAGTTCATAACCGAGTCTGAAATTTTAATGTAATTTTGTTGTGATTGATAGGATCAAATTTTTCGCGATTTTTTTATCAGCATGCTAAAAGTTACAATCACACCAACACCTTTCACGCGTTACATCATTACCACTAACAAACTAGAAATTATCTCAAAATTAAAGATAATTATCAGACATATATGTAAAGGGTATCGTTATTGTGACGTTCAATTTCAAAGACGTTATTGCCCTGTCCAGGACACTCAATCGTTTTTAGGGACCATACGCCGCTTTTTCAGGGAATGGTACATCAACTGTTCCATAATAACTACCGTATGAACACATCTGCGGATGTTTCTAAATTCAAAAGTTCACCATTTTCGTGTTTAAATGTTGAATTCTGCTTAAGCCGGTGCTAGGTGGAACTGCTGGACGATATATTGCTCTTTCCAACTTCGCCCTTGAAAGGAATCGATCAAATATTTCATTAGTCTGGCTCCCCGCCTACATTTACTACGGAAAGTAGGTCAGGTAAATGGCAAAATGGCGGACGCCATAGTAAAGGATTCAACGCATACAGATGTAAGAAAATTGTCCCAAATTAACTGATCATTAATAATCTTCGGTTGTATGATATTCCATTATATTTAAGATAAGCAATAATTGCATTTTTTTTCATCGACTTGTCTTATCAAATGAAATATCACTCATTAGTAAAGTAATGTAGTACTCACGGACCTTGGTACGAGATAAGTTGAGTACGTGAGTATATGATTCATAGCCTCTGACTGGCCGTTACTTCTGGCGGCGGAGGGCCGCAAGGGATTCTGGGGGATTTCTCTAGAAGCAGCCATTGGTGCTACACACAACATTAACTAGGTGACAACTACCGAATATATTGGTACGTCACAGTCATATAGCTAGGTAAGTCCTTTACTTATCTTAATAAAGGTTCTACAATGGTGGCAGCGGTAATTTGATTACCAGTTTTGCCAGTACAAATCGCTACCTGCAAAACAGCAGATTTTAGGTGAGGCAACCTAATCGAACCTTGTGTCTGTTAACGGGTGTTATTGTTCTAAAGACAATTGCATTTATTTAATAAGGTACTTTTACGTGTAATTTTCGGGTGATTGAGTTTATTACTCAAATTTGGCGGGTTTTATTTCGCGCATACACCACAGGATATAGCCTACCGGTGTGGAGTGTGAAATCGCAAAGTCGATTTTGTGCACTTTGTCTGCCATTGTATTTTATTGAATTTAACGTTAATTTAAAAGAATAAATTTATTTAATTTTTGTAATTGATAGATTTTGTTGTTGTTTTCTTGTATTTGACCCGTTTAATTTTAATTATTGAACCATGTCACAGCAAAATGACAACATCCATTGCGGACTCTGCATCAATTAATTAGGAATGGGTCTGGTAATCTGATTCGTGGTGATACTACTGGGAAAAGGAATGGAAATTGTGAAAATATTTCTCTTTATTGTCTAAAGTGTGGTCATCAACCCATTTTTCTTCGATTAAATTTTCAGAAGTAAATGAGAAAATGATTAGAATTTATAAAGAGAAAACATACTGTCTGAGTCCACATGACAAAAAACTGGCAACAATGAGTTGGATGGAATCCCATGATACCTCTGCAAAGAAGCAGATAATACGCAATGTTTAAATAAAAAACATGGAGAGGGGCGTCCGTGGCCGAGTGGTTAAGGTCGTTGACTTCAAACCACTTGCCCCTCACCGCTGTAGGTTCGAATTCCGACAGGGACTTGGATTCTTTCATGTGAGGAAGCTATCCAGCTAGCTTACGGAACGTCGGTGGTTCTACTCAGGTGCCCGTTCGTGCCTGATATAATGCACGGAGGGGCACCTGAGGTATTCCTCCACCAGTAAAGCTGGAGCGTCGCAATATGACCCATACTGTGTCTTGAACTTGAATTTTGAACTTGAACTTGAATATTTTGAACTTCAATGCTTGTCTTTTCTTTCTTAGACAAAAACATTCTCAACAGTATTAGACACATACAATCGAGAGTACAACACCAACATTCAGGAACTTAAACCTCTTCAAGTAAAGGCGTTGTCAATTATCTTATCTGGAAAGGATTGTGTATGCTCCCTTCCCACTGGATATGGGAAGTCTTTAATTTTTAAACTTCTCCCATTTATTGACTTAAACTGCTTGGTTATTGTAATTGAGCCTCTAAATGATATAAGAGAACAAGAAACACAAAAGCTAGGAGAAACAGCGATTTGTCTATCTGGAAAAGGTGACCTAGGCTTTAATAATGTAAAAAATGGCAAAGTAAAATATATCTTTTGCCATCCTGAGGATATTCTGGATAACAAGAGAATTGTAGAATTATTTAAATCTGAATGTGTGAAATCCCGAAATATTTTCCTGGTAGCCGACGAGGCCAATTGCATTTTAGACTGGGGTGATCACTTAACACCCGATTATAAAAGACTTTCTAATTTAAGATCTTTGTTTGAGTGCCAAATTTTAGCACTGTCAGCAACCGTTACAAGTGTGGGACAAAGAGACATAATTAAGAATTTACTTATGAAATATTGTGTGAGTGTGATTGTGCCCGTCCAACAAAGGAAAACATTGAACTAGTTGTATTACAAAGACCTAGTGCTACTTCTACGGGAAACTCTGCAAGTACTCCATAGGCTTTTTTTAAAGGATCCTGCATAAGCTAAATGATGATAGCAAGAACTTCCCTGTAAAAATTATTTTTTGGAATTCCATCCAATGGCTTGGATATGGTTATGAACTTGCAAGAGAGACCTGGAGGACAACTTCTACGATGGGGAAAGAACAACTGAACAGGCAAAGGTTGTTCTTTTCATCAATGGAAGACAGCAATGGCAAGGCAAGTATGGGTTAAATATACATCGGCAGAACACTAATAGTATTTTGTTAAGTATATCTTAGAACATTATTTATTATCATTACTGGTTAGGCTCATTCGAGAAGTCTTTGGTTTGAAATACTTTAAAAGACAATCTGTAATCTGTTACTGCTATACGTTAATTGATATATATATATATGTATATATTTATTTTCTTATTCATGTTTACAGCTAAAACAAATGATCTTTGCTAGTCTGCAAAAGCCATCCCAGGACTGTAGCATTAGACTTATATTTGCATCAGTGGCACTTGGCATGGGTGCAGACCTAAAAAATGTGAAGCGTGTAATACATGGTGGTCCACTCTAGAAAGTAAGATCCTTATTTATTTAAATCTTTATGCTCAGCCACTTGTGACAAAACTGTTTTTAAAGTTCACTCGATGAAATAGAATTTCATCTAACACACTAACAAATTATATAATATTAAACACATAACTTTAAAAAGATAAAAAGTTCAAAACGCAATTCAAGTGTAAAAATGTACTATATTATTGTGAGTGTTTGTTATTCATCCTATGGATTAAAACATGAATTTTACAATTTTAAATATACATGTACACTCATACAATCTGAATAATAATTATACAATTTATTAATTTACATTCTTTCATTCAACCTTAATTGAAAGGTAATCAGTGGTTTATTGCAGACCATCTATATGTCTCATTGTACCTGAAACAAATTGAAGTAGACCAAAATTCTGGAAACAAAGTGATCCATTAAACATATATATATATATATATATATATATATATATATATATATATATATATATATATATATATATATACACCCTACCTCCTGCCTTAGTACAAGTCTGTAACTTTTGATCAACCTCACAAATACATTTTATTTTAGCCTATGTTCAGGAAATTGGATGGGCTGGAAGAGTTGGTTCACATGCCAAAGCTATACTGTATTACAACAATAATGACATAGCTATTAAGCACATGCAAGCCAGCATGAAGGATTATTGTAAAAAAGAGAAAAAAAGAATCCCTAAAGAATGCCCAACACGGCAAAATTGAAAATGTTGCAGGCTCGGTTTGATTGAGCCTGTTCATGGACGGTACTGTCAAGTGCAAACTACCGTCCACGCCCCCTAGCACCGGCTTAAGCAGAATTCAACATTTAAACATGAAATGGTAAAATTTTGAATTTAGAAACATCCGCAGATGTGTTCATACGGCGGTTTACATGGAACCTTCAATGTGACACTTCCGTGCCATTCCATGAAAAGCGGCGTATGGTCCCCAGGTAATAAAAAGCGTGTGCCCTAAACGAGAAAACAATGGGCGGAACTAAATAAAATGGAATTTTGAAAGGGGATCAGAGGTTATGAAGCCTGCGTATCACAGATAAGACGTCAAAAGACAAGTTAAAAAGCAGGCAACATATCCTAAGGGTGATTCAACATTATTAAAGTAGGAATATTGGAAAAAAATATGATAGACAAGGTCGACAAGGAAAGGCGGCATTCAATGAACGCAGCCCCCACCCGACCCAGCAACAAGCGCCAGCGGCAAGGAGCCCAGGAGGACCCCAAATAAAAACAGGACAGGGTACAAGGCAGAGCACGGGCAGGCAAACCACCACATCAGAATACATAACCAACCAACATAACCACCAAACAAGAAAATGCCGAAAAGTTAAAACTGAAAGAGTGAATATGATAAACAAGATCAACAAGGAAAAACTTTATCTAATCTGTGATACGCAGGCTTCATAACCTCTGATCCCCTTTCAAATTTCCATTTTATTTAGTTCCGCCCATTGTTTTCTCGTTTAGGGCACACGCTTTTTATTACTTGGGGACCATACGCCGCTTTTCATGGAATGGCACGGAAGTGTCACATTGAAGGTTCCATGATAACCGCCGTATGAACACATCTGCGGATGTTTCTAAATTCAAAATTTTACTATTTCACGTTTAAATGTTGAATTCTGCTTAAGCCGGTGCTAGGGGGCGTGGACGGTAACTGTAACTTGCACTTTCCAGTACCGTCCATGAACAGGCTCAATCAAACCGAGCTTGAAACATTTTCAATTTTGCCGTGTTGGGCTTTCTTTAGGGATTCTGTATTTATCTATTTTAAGACTGTAAGACTGAAAAGTAACGTAGTATAAGGGGAAGGAACTCCAGACTAATATTTCATATGCAAATTGATCTACCAATATATTACGCACCATGTGATATGATACGTAACATGTTCAACCATCCACTGTTTTATGAACCGAAGCTGTATTTGTGTACCTAAATTGATTCAAGATACGCAAAGGTATGAATGTAACTTATTTCTTTATCATATAAAGAGCAAGAGAATAATGGGATTGAAAACCAAATGACTTGTGAATAGGTTTCAATTTTTTAGTGTATTATATTGAAAATAAATTTGATCTGAACAAGCTTCTGCCACACTTTTCATATTTTCAATGTTCCATTTTATTTTAACATATCAATTGAAACAAATCAAAGCGATAACAATCTGTTCTACTTTGGCCCAGTTCAAAGGACAATTGAATAAACATTTGCTTAAGTGGCTTTATATTGAAACAAAATCAGATTCTTTTTAATTTGAAACAACTGAAGCGATAGTAATTGATTCTACTTGTTTCTCTTATATTTATTTTTTTTGGAATTTCTGTGGAATGCCCGGTAAATTGATTTTTACCATTAGTCCTTTCATCGTTGATTAAGAAAAGAGTGAGTGACTATTGACTTTTAAAGGAATATTAAATTCCCTATGATAATAATTTGAAACTGAAAATTATCTTAACCTGCGTCTCAATGGGTTGTAATTAGACATAATATAAAGTTTTAACAGAAACTTTATTATCTTAAAAGAAAACATACTACAGTAAATGCACGGCTTCCGTTTTTGGTAGTGCTAAATCACAAATAAACAGTTCATACCATAAAAAAGGAGTGCAAAAACAATTATTCCTAAAATTAGAGAAAACACTTATTATATATGAAAAGGTTTTCAATACTGAAATAAGTATCGGCAAAAACAATCGTGCTATTTGCTTACATTTTTGCAAAATATGCCGACAGCTGTAAAGCACTTGAACATTTTTCTTATGATAAGGTATCAAATTCTGGAAACAAAGTGATCCCTCGGAAGCATTAATCACAACATAATAACATAAGAATTGCAGACTCGGTTTGATTGAGTCTGTACATGAGGGATAATGAATAAGTGCAACATCCCTCACGCCCCCTAGCACCGGCTTGACCGGTACTCAATTCTCAACACTTCATAGTGTTGGCATCAATGATCCCGAAGGACCAGAAAATATAACAAGAGCACCGCTAGGCGGAGCATTATATGCCCGAAAGTGTTTTTTTTTTTAGTAAGGATGAAGCATTTGTAAGACATGGGAATTCGCTGTTCATCCTATAAAATTTTACAGCTGTAGGTTGATTAATACTTAAGTTATTAATAATGACCTTAACCTTTGACCTTGTGACCCCAAAATCAATAGGGGTCTTCTACCTTATATGGACAATCATCCTAAGAAGTTTGAATATTGTGGGCCAAATGGAACTTACGTTATGCTCCGGAAATTGTTTTTGGTTTTAAGGTCATTGTGACCTTGACCTTTGACCTAGTGACCCCAAAATCAATAGGGGTCTTTTGCCCAATATGGACAATCATCCCATGAAGTTTGAATATTGTGGGCCAAAAGGAACTTAAGTTATGCTCCGGAAACTGTTTTCAGTTTTAAGGTCATAGTGACCTTGACCTTTGAACCCCAAAATCAATAGGGGTCTTCAACCCAATATGGACAATCATCCTATGAAAATTGAACATTGTGGGTCAATTGGAACTTAAGTTATGCTCCGGAAACTGTTTTAAGTATCAAGGTCATAGTGACCTTGACCTTTGGACCCCAAAATCAATAGGGGTCTTCAACCCAATATGGACAATCATCCTATGAAGTTTGAACATTGTGGGTCGAATGGAACTTACGTTATGCTCCGGAAACTGTTTTCAGTTTTAAGGTAATAGTGACCTTGACCTTTGACCCCAAAATCAATAGGGGTCTTCAACCCAATATGGACAATCCTCCTATGAAGTTAGAACATTTTGGGTCGAATGGAACTTAAGTTATGCTCCGGAAACTGTTTTCAGGTCATGGTGACCTTGACCTTTTGACCCCAAAATCAATAGGGGTCTTCTACCCAATATGGACAATCATCCTATGAAGTTTGAACATTGTGGGCCAAATGGAACTTAAGTTATGCTCCGGAAACCAAATTGCTAACGGACGGACGGACAGACAGACGCCAGGGGGTATAACATAATATGCCCTTTCGGGCATATAACAACACTGAAGTGAAGTACGGGGCAACTTTTTACGGCTGCCACACAGCACTTGACACCTGATGTTGTGAAGTACAAAATTCTGGAAACAAAGTGATCCCTCGGAAGCATTAATCACAACATAATAACATAAGAATTGCAGACTCGATTTGATTGTGTCTGTACATGAGGGACAATGAATAAGTGCAACATCCCTCACGCCCCCTAGCACCGGCTTGAGCGGTACTCAATTCTCAACACTTTATAGTGTTGGCATCAATGATCCCGAAGGACCAGAAAATATAACAACACTGAAGTGAAGTACGGGGCAACTTTTTACTGCTGCCACACGGCACTTGACACCTGCTGTTGTGAAGTACAAAATTCTCAACACTTAATAGTGCTGGCATCAATAATCCCTCATGGACAGACTCAATCAAATAGAGAAATACAGACTCCCTAAAGAAAGCCTAACACGACAAAATCGACAAACCGAGTCGGCAATTCTCTTGTAATTTTGTTGTGATTAATGCTTCGAGGGATCACTTTGTTTCCAGATTTTTTGTTTCAGCCTGCAGAGTTGCCATACTGCGCCTGTGGTATTTTAGTTCTATCTATTCGGCATCCTTCTTGTTGGGTGGTTCCAGTATTCGTCACTTGAATACTGTTGAATCACCCTTAGGATATGAGGCCTGCTTTTTAAATTTGTCTTTTGACGTTATTAACATCTGTGATATGCAGGCTTCATAACATCAGATCCCCTTTCAAAATTCCATTTTATTTAGTTCCGCCCATTGTTTTCTCGTTTAGGACACACGCATTTTTTTACTTGGGGACCATATGCCGCTTTTCATGGAATGGCACAAACGTGTCACATTGAAGGTTCCATGATAACCGCCATATGAATACATATGAGGATGTTTAAAAATTCAAAATTTTACCAGTTCATGCTAAATGTTGAATTCTGCTTAAGCCGGTGCTAGGGGACGTGGACGGTAGTTTGCACTTTACAGTACCGTCCATGAACAGGCTCAATCAAATCGAGCCTGCAACATTTTCAATTGTGCCGTGTTGGGCATTCTTTAGGGATTCTTATTTCACTCTATTTTCTCTTACATTTGTGAGATGGGCAGAATGCGATGGAATCACAAAGGATAAAATTCCGGAAACAAAGTGATCCCTCGGAAGCATTAATCACAACAAATAACATAAGAATTGCAGACTCGGTTTGATTGAGTCTGTATATGAGGGATAATGAATAAGTGCAACATCCCTCACGCCCCCTAGCACCGGCTTGAGCGGTACTCAATTCTCAACACTTTATAGTGTTGGCATCAATGATCCCGAAGGACCAGAAAATATAACAACACTGAAGTGAAGTACGGGGCAACTTTTTACGGCTGCCACACGGCACTTGACACCTGCTGTTGTGAAGTATAAAATTTCGGAAACAAAGTGATCCCTCGGAAGCATCAATCACAACAAATAACATAAGATTTGCAGACTCGGTTAGGGTTAGGGTTCCATGATAACCGCCGTATGAACACATCTGCGGATGTTTCTAAATTCAAAATTTTACTATTTCACGTTTAAATGTTGAATTCTGCTTAAGCCGGTGCTAGGGGGCGTGGACGGTAACTTGCACTTTCCAGTGCCGTCCATGAACAG